GTGTGTGTGTGTGTGTGTGTGTGTGTGTGTGTGTGTGTGTGTGTGTGTGTGTGTGCGTGCGTGCGTGTGTAGTACACATGTATATATATATATATATATATACATATATAATCAAATAATAAGAAATTTATGATATTTTAATATGAAAATTTGCGAAAAGATATTTTCTTGTAAAAATAAAATTTATGTTTTATCATAAACACATTCATTATCCACATCAATTGTCGGACCCGTAGTTCCTATAGTCAATGAGAACACTCCGTAATTGTCCATTGTTGCAATATTGGCTTCTCAATCAATTGTCCATTGTTGCAATATTGGCTTCTAATATGTCACCAATAATTGTATAGATACGTTCAATAATTGTTAGAATCACTTATTGCTGCCAAAGATTCTTTTGAATATTTTTTTAATCAAGATAATTATTTGCCTCGAAAATCAGTCAACTTGTCAATTAAGTCAATTTTACGTGTAATAATTTGTCAAAGCGTCATTTGCACTTGCGGTTGAATATTGACATTCTAATAAAATATCCATAATTAATTAATATATAAATATTAATCTCTTCATGTTTACATTTAGAATGTGTGAACATGTTTACTGTTAGAAAAAATTAATATTCTTTGATTAATATTCTTCTCTCTCTAGATTAATCTCTCTATATTAATAATAGGTTATATTAATATTAACAATATAATTTTTTATTGACAAAATATTTAATGTAACATTCTTTATAATATAACTTACTGCATATTATTTTGATAATATTTTAAAGGATCTCTGATTTATTTTCCAAGTAAACTACAATATTTTAAGTGTTGTTTGGTTTTAATTTTTCCACTCTCACGGTTTGATCATTTAATAAATGTAATATGATTAAAGATTAAAATCTTAATATATCTAATTTTCTAGACTTAGACTGGAGTACTACGAACAAAGCTGCGCGGTCGACAGTGTAACGAAAAAATGCGCTGGGCCAACCTCAGAATGCAGAAAAGCGATGCTGGGCATCCTGGGTACTGAACTTCATACCAACTGTGCTTGTAAGGGCACCGAGCTTAACCAACTCTACGGCTGTCTAGGTTGGCAACGACTTCTCTGGGTGAATCCTTGCGTAGGTAAGCGAAAAATTCTGAGTCATTTATTACTCGAGAATTAAATCGCAATAATCTAAATTAGAAAAGCTAAGTTTAGTGATTCATTGTCCTTAATAGACAATGGATATAAGCAGAGAGAATTTCTTTAAGATATATTCACAGATATAAATATATGAAAGCTTATTGTAAAATTTCAACTATGAAGATAAATATTTGAAAATATGGGTGGCTTTGAATAACCTCTCGTGAGCATGTAGAATAGATTATATTGAATATCCTATATTGTACCATAAGAAAAATCCTATACTATTTTGCAATTTTTGCAATAATTAAAGAGTCATAAAGAGTCATAATTTAGATAGATTGCGGATAAGCGAGAATATATATTTTTTTATATGAATTATTTGAAAATATAGGAACCAATCTCAAATTGATATTAAAACATTGAGATTAAATAAAAGTAATCATAAACTGCACATTATTTGAGGAATAGGAGGTATAGGAATGTTAATTAATATAGACTGATGATATTGCTTCGATATTTAACGATGCTTGCAATGTTTATCTCACAAGATTCTGATCAGTGTGAAAACGTGACAATATCTGTTCTTCATTAAAGCGATATTTTCGAATAAATACATTTTACGTTTATTTATTAATAAAATAGACCTTTGCAAATAGAAAATAATTAGAAATCACAAAGGGCACATAAACTAGCCGTTTTTTTATCATCTTTGAAAAAGTTTTAGATAGATAGTCTTCTACGGATAAACATTACAGCATGTAATTATCATAGAACAGACAAAGCTCTATGAAGCTTTATTGATGCACTCGGCATGATGCACTTCTAAAGCGCAGTAAGAGATGCAATTTCTTCGTATCTAAATGACTTATCTACCAACTGAATGCAGTCCATTGCATTCGCCATGCTTTACAACTCAACGGAGTCGGGAAGAATCGATAAGAGCCAACCTGTGTCGTTTGTTCGACCGGCGTAATTGTAATCCTGCGCATGGCATTACCGTTTAGCAACATTGATCATCATAGATCGCTGTAAATCTTATTTCTCGGTTTCCCTGATGGCATCACATTTCATTTAACTTATTTTTAATACAAAAAATTTAATAAATAAAAATTTTGTCAAATATATTTTAATAATAAGTACAGAAGATACATAATATATTATTATTCCCTGTTTATAATTTAATATTCGGGAAACAAACTATGAAATATTAGGTGATATTTGTTAAAGATATTATCAAGTCAAGCTTTAAGCGCCTCTACTCAAAAGAAATAAAAACTCAGATTATTGCTCTTTTATATTGTATTTATAAATGCTGATAAGTATAATCTATTTCGCGGAAAAATAAAAGTTGCAGGTCGCCACGCTGCAGCTCGTAAAATATTATTACGCGCATCTTACGTTCCCTATTATTGCTGTACGCGTCCCGTGAGAGGAGAGGTGCGCGGTGCCCCTTGAAAGTGTAATCACCCCGGAGCCCCCTCGGTAGCTGAAATATTTCGCAGCAGCTGTGCCGTCGGCGATACGGGACCGGGCGACTTTTCCGATACTTTCATACTTCCGCGTCGGATGGCTACACGTGTACATTCAACTGCAATTTTACAGGCTCTCCGTTCGGCACTTTATATTGCTTAGCGGTTGTTATTTGCGACCACACGTCCGTTTCCTGGCGCGCAGCGAGAGAAAACATGAGGGAGAAAGTATTAAGCCAAAATTATTCCGAGGCGACGATGCCGATTTGAGTCGGCTGTTTTTCAACGCTTATTATTGTGTCGTGAGATGTCATAAGAGCGAGCATAAAATTGTCATCATAGAATCATCGTAAATAATTCTCTGCAAAGTATATCTGCCAAATTCAGCAAAAGTAATCATAGAATAAAAAATCAATAATTAATAATAAGTCTTATGATGTAAAGTAGAAAATAATTTGTATCTTAATTAAGTTATGTCCTTCTCACATATTTAAACAAAGTTCTAAATCTAATACATGAATTCTGAAGTAAATGTTCTTATTGCTTGCCTATCTTGTACACGACTTTTAATCCATTTTGTTCCTTAATTTGCATCGTTTTGAAAATATTATCGGTGATTACAGTGGAATCGCAGAAGGACTATCACGCGCGCAGAAAACATCATCATTCGCGAACGACAACCGCGAAGACAACGACAACGACGACTGCCGTCGCGTCAACGACAAGGTCACCGACAAGCACGACGGCGACCACCGCGGTCGAACAAGTGGAAGATAATCAAATACCGGAAGTGACGAGGTGGCCGACCACCGAACCCACGGAAACTTGGGAAATCACAACCACTACTATAAGCACCACTCCAAGCACCACCACGACCACCACGCCGACACCACGTGAGTTTAAACGCGGGTTTAATGATTATTAATTTTCTATATAATAATTGACCTAATTCTCTGAAATTATATCGAGCTTTCTACTCGCAAATTTTAGATACTAATTATTTAGTTTGATTATTGGAAGTATAGAAAAATACAGAAAGTTATGAAAAATAAATGCTAAAAGGATTTCTCGTAAGTTTTATTACAATAGTAACAATATTTTATCTGGAATTTGATTAGTTACTATATATTTAACATGGAAAAAATTGGATTCCTCGCAGTCTTCTAAAATTTAGTATCAAAATATATTATGATGCTTTTTTTTATACTGCTTCATTTTCATAAAGTATTTCAAATTTATTTTTTAAACTATTAAAAAAATTTTTAATTTTTTAAAATTTCTCATTTTTAATTATTGTATTTTTATACTTTATATATTCATATTTTTTAATCTGAGCAGAATATACAATGTTTTTTTTTTATAAATAAATAAATTTTTTATAAATAAAAACTCCGCGTATCGGAAGCTTGAAAAAAAGAAGAGTTTTTAATCCCTTTCGTCTGCCGCATCGAGAAGCAAATTAGATAGATCGCCTCCGGGTGAGATACGTTGGAAAAAGGGGTTGATAAAGGAGACTGGAGAAATAAACTGGTGAAAAAAGCAACTTCTCACGTCACTCTCTTTGTAGGCTTCTGCATCGTTCAAAGGCCGAGACAGAGTCACCAATACATAAGAGAAGGCAAGGGCAAAAGGGTGAGTCGTTTGCAATTTTTCAAGTTCCTCGCGATCGTCGTCGCGGCATAAAACGCCCACCGCCGCCACACTCGAGAGCCAACGCTCGCGAGACAAAAAGAAAGTGAAGGTTTTGTTACGTTAAGACGTTATACACCGGAAAAAGAATGGGCAGGGGTGTCAATAGAAATCGTATACTGTATACTAGTAAATTTCATCAGTAAAAAAGCGGACAAACCAATTGCAATTTCTTTTTTTTTTAACGTCATGGCATATTCTACTAATCTTTTCTTTAACAAGAAATTTTTTTAATTCTGAAGATAAAGAAGAACTCTTTAATTAATAATAATATAAGATACAATTTTAAATGCTCAATTATATTTTTATTTTTTGAATATAATATATATAATAAAAAATTTTTTATTTAAATGTAATTAGAAAGTATCTTATTTGAATTAATTAACATATGACAAAGAAGAAATAATTATTGATGTAAATTCTTTGATTTTTAGGAAATGTTGTTTTAAAAAATGTAACATAGATTACATTTCTGAATATAGCAAGATACAATTTGAATAACTAAATTTCCAAGCTGTATATAACAGCTGTACATATATAACAAATATTATATCACATGATCACGTTTTTTAATTGGAAATTGGATTGGAAATTTGAAATTGGAAATTATTAGTAAAAAATCCACTATCAATAATATAATATAGTGACAAAATACCATGAGATATTTTATAACATGAACTTAAAGAAAAGAACTAATCCTCACATAGAAAAAAATTTATTTATATATTTCTAATCAAAAAGAAAAGTTTTCCATTTAACTTGAAATCAGGATTGTTGAATATTTGAATCTAACAAATAGAATTTAAATTTAAACTTTATTTCATAATTGTACTACGTTTATATTTATAAGAAATATAAGAAATGCATATCGGTGTTAATTCTTTTTCTAATATTTTAACTGAATATTATTTTGATAAGCTCGCTGATGGATATAAAATAGATAAAGCTTTTTGCCTAAAACAGATATGAAATATAGTTGTTATAATTTAAAATATGAATATTTGAGCAATTTTAATCAAAACAGATTTTAATGAATCATATATACGTATTTGTAATTTCATTATTTTTCTGTAATGAGGAGGATATTAAGATCAAAATATTATTTTATTATTATTTTAATTTAAAATTAAATAATATAAAAACACATATATATAAAATTATTTCTTATATACATATAAATATCATTTATTTTATAATAAAATAATATTTTATCTTTATGATAAAAAAGTTTTTTCTTTTAAAAGTCTTTTTTCTCTTAAAATATTTTTTTAAAGAAGGATAATGGATAAATGTATTGATTGCAATATATTATACTTACGTAGCTCTATCGCGATGACGAGCCCGAATGCTCGGAACTCTGCCATTGTGGTGAGGGTGAGCAACTTGTTTGCAACACCATCTGCGTCGATTCATCTCCTTGCAAGACAGATTTTGCTTTCTACAATCATGAAGCGCCTGCCTATCAGGCGCATCGAGGTCCTTGCCTTTGCTATAGTGGTGGCTTTATATGCATGCGGCCTTCGCCTGGTGAGTAATTATCTCTCTCATAATTGTTGCGATGAAATTAAAGTTAATTAGATTACTACGCGTTTACTTGATTCCTCATAGCTTAAATGCTATTTCTGCGTACAGATCTTGATTTCGTTTATTTTATGGTAAAAATGAATAAAATATTTGGAATTTATTACAGAAAGATTTTATTTACAAAATAATTTAATCAAATTAAAGCTATCTATTCGTAGTTTCATTTTTAAATTAAACATCAATCAATAAATAAATAAATGAAAATAATTAAAAGTAATTTAATTGTTTAAGAATAAATAGATTAATAAATATAAAATAAATAAATATAAAATAAAAATAAAATTAAAATTCTACTTTTTTACAAAGTTTATATTAAACGTGTTTAATATAAGCGCTTTCTTTTTTTTTATTTTTTCTTTCTTTTTTTCCTGGACTCGACCAGAGCTTGAAATATGACGATTTTTGAGTAGTCAGGACAGGAAACGATTTCTCTTCTCGCCGTAATACCAACATTGTGTTATTTGCGCAGACACATATAGTATACCGCACGGGGTTTTCATGTTCCTGGGGTACAGCGAGAAGGACGAGACCTTATTGAAGCAGCACAACAATGTAACCGTGCTGGACGCGGTGTCGTCTCTCGACAATTTCATGAGAGAGGAAGTCAATAATCAGGTGAGGCGTGCCATCATGTTGTTCCCACTGACCGTTAATTCCCGCTGGAACGACACTTCACTCTTTGTCACTTCTTCGGTTAGCGTCGAACACGCCAGCTCGGTGGCTCGGTAGAAATTTTACTTGAATTCCAAAACCGTGAGATTATCTTGGCACAATCTGCTATGAATTCAATGACCCAGAAAAGAATTTAAAATCAGTCGATTATTCCGGGGTTTATTACATCCTGTGTTACTCGTTTCGGCGTCAAGGAGATGGGTGAAGGGAGAGCATTCCGGAAAATTTCCAGAATGCAATTAATGCGCAGCATCTCCGATCGGAGTGCGAAATCCCGATAATGAGAAATGTCAATGAGAAATGTAATGGCTCGTCAAACTGCGCAGATCGATTAAAAACTAAATCGGGCCGCGCGGAATTTAATAAAGCCGCCGCGTAGCAGCGACGGATGACGCGCCAATGTACCTATATCTATTCATCTAGGTCAACTCTCCCGTCTTTCATTTACAGACAGTATGCACGCTCTTCTTGTACAACGCGACCCGAGAAAACGTGATTGCAGTGGCACGACTCGGGACCGACAATCCACCCTTAAATAGCAGCCAGGCTCAGAGTCTGCAGCACCTGCTGCGCGTCAAGGTAAGCGAATCTTGAATGGACCTTTTCGTACGGTATGAAGAAAATTGAAAGCTTTGCTGCGAGAGCTAGATAAAGCCACAAAAGTGCGCCTTTCGAGTGTGCGAGACGGAAGGAAATGCACACTCGAGAAAAACAATACTTTATTACAATACATTTCATTATTATTATTACCTCTTCGAAACCATTAAATAACCAGAGTTTTTAGTCATAGTTTTTTATTAACTGCATTAGGATATTTTAAACTTGACGCGATATATTGACTGCCTCTACATTGTTATAAATTATATTTATATATGAAAGTATATATTAATCTGAACAAAATTTATATTTAAATAGAGATATTTATATCTTTTTGATTACTATTTTTTTACAAAATCTTTTTTTGTTTATAATTATTATTATTTATTTAATATATAGTCGCTAAAATATTTTAAATATAACACGACGTATTATTTTAGAAGTTTGTAACATGATGCATTAAAGGAACGGAACAGCAAAGATAAAATATAATAGTTCGGTTAAAACTCGTAATTCATGATTTGACGGCGTGATATAATATCTCCTCTCGCTCTTTGTACTTTACTACCCTCTTTGTAAACTTTACTGTAAACATTAGATTAGCTCTTAAATCTTTATCGTCTTTAAATTACGTGTAGGATCTGCAAACGTGAGAGTTTATACGGCCCATAAGGATCTTGCCGAACAATAAGAAAGGCCGATCGCGTGAACGACGGCGATTCGATACACGCGCGTGCGTGTACACCCGACAGGAAGTCGGTGCGAAAGGCCGATAACGGATCCTCGCGAAAGTTTTAATTTCCCCGGCGAATCTCGGCGTCGTTCCGGCGGAGTTATCGCGATTAATCCGTTCGTTCCTTGCCGAATTTCACCCTTCGCGCCGCGATAGATCTCGACAGTCGGGAGCGGATCCGCCGATCGACCTCCGGGTTATTGCACGCAAGAATGCAGCCTTACGCGTGTCCGGAACGTATAACGCGCTCGCTTAAAATACACGCAGGGTAATTAAAACTCTGTGATTCATGATCGATTTGCATACGTAGTGTGTACGCGCTTCACGCGTACTCTCGAGGTGGCATTATGATTAAATATGAATTTGTTAAATTAAAAATGAAATGTTTTTTATGTTTCTATGTCTTTTTTTATAAAAAGATTTGATAATCTATTATGATTCTATCTGAAATGTCTTAGTTTACGTTTAAAATAGCTGTCTTATAAAATTTAAAGAATATAGCTCGTCTTATATTTAATCTTATCTGTCTTATATCTAATATTTAAAGAAAGGTGTTATCTAAAAATAGCTGTCTCGTAAAGTTTAATATTTAAAGAAAATGATGGATGAAAAAAAAACAAACATACTGAATATGATTACGTCGAAAAATAATAATAAAGTTTTCTCTTGGGCAAACATATTCTGCGAGTATCGAAGGGAGGGATTTTTATAATAACGAATCCTCGACGTCCAAAAATTCGCACGGAAAAGGGATAGATCGGCCAACGGAACAACACGCCAATTCGAATCCAGAATACCTCCATCAAGTTGCAAATGGACCAGCGCTTGATCACAGATTGGAAATCGCCCCGGGAACCTGTATAGCTGTGTAAAATGCGTGCATGAACAGAAAACGACATGCATTTAGCAACATACAGGTGTCGAAGAGAAACGTCACAATTGATCGATGCAAAATAATATTGATGGAAAATTACACACCATTTCGAATTGAAAACCAGAGAATTTCTCAACTCTACTTTATTATTAATTTAGCGGAGCTAGTGCGACTTTTGAACAAATCGAGAAAGAGAGAGAGAGAGAGAGAGAGAGAGAGAGAGATATGAATGATAAATCATGACTTTGGCAAAATAATATTTTAAATTAATTTAAAAATGCATATTTTGTCTTTATATAATAAGAAACAGTTTTACTAGAATAGTTGATTCGATATATAATCAATTAAATAACATGTTTAATATAAATAATTAGACGAGGCATTTAGCTGAAGGGAAAAGAAATTTTATTCATATTTTGAAACCAAGAGATATAACTAAAGTTATTTTATGGCTGATAACTTTGCCCGTTGGCTTTAAATAACGGCTCGACGGAGAACGTCTGACGGGATTACGGGAATTCGTTTCTGCCATTGCCAGCGGGATAGCGAGTTTCGATTCGAAAGAAATGGTCGACTGGGCGACTGTGCGATAGATATATAGATAAATAGATTGAGGTTCGCCCGGTGAGATCGAAGAATCGCGCTAAGCAACGATCGCGAAGAAAAAGGCAAGTTTGGAAAATCGGATACGAACTCGAGACGACCTGTTATCATTAATAAAAGACCAATTTCTTGCTTTTCCGTTCCGTACTATTTCTAAAGAATCTTCAAATATATTAGCAGAAAAGAATAATTTATTTTTTTATATTTAAATTGTGCATAAACACATTTAATCTTATTTATTAATTTTACATACAGTACTCGATGAAGATGATAAGTCTTTATATGGATAATTATTCTACTGATTATTCTGCGTTTCTATTAATAATTTTATTAAGTAAAATGATTAATTGAGGTATTAAATTATTACGAACTTGTTCGCATGATATGTATCTCAAAATTTTCAGATTTGCATAAGTTTCCCTGGCAGTCGGCCCACGCGGTTCGCCCCCAATGTCATCTCACCCTTTCCGTTCTCCTTGTCTGTAAACCCAAGGGGCTCGTAGTAGCGGTGGACTGCATCAGCGAGGGGGATGGAAACTTGCATTTTCCCCCGGTGACTGCACGTCGCTGGTACATACGTCATAAAACTTTGCTAATATAGCGAAGGACCGCGGTGCCGTCTTTACATCGGCGACTCGAAATCGCTCGTTTCTCTCTCGCTGGGCCAGCATTCGTCTTACTTTCCCCCATCTTTCACTTTCTACCCCTCTTTTCTGTGTTTTTGCGTTCCCATCCCCCGTACTCTCTATTCATCGTCGAGCGAAATTTATGCGATTCAAAGCTCGTGCAGAACTTTACGACTTTGGTTATCTTGCTCAAATCATTATTCGAATTACCTGGTCGTTTGTCAGCCAGATGCAATCGAATATCGCCGAGGAATGGATATCGATTGTCTTTAATTGAGTCTTTGCTATCCATCGCCTATGCGATTATTATTTTTGTCCATTTTGTCCGATTTTCCCCTGATTATTCGACTGTGATTGTTCAATAATTTGACCTAATTTGATATCGTGCTCTTAGATTCTGTGCAGCCAATTAACGCTCTTTCAATTAAACATGGTTACAGCTCTAATTGCACGTTTAAATGATGTTTAATTTAAATCATCAAATAATTTTTCTCTCTGTTGGACAGTTGAATCAATGAAATTAAATATTTAATTCAATTTTTAATACCAAATTGGGATTTGATAATTTCAAGATAAAGCCTGTTATTCCTGTTTTAAACATCACAAATTTGCTTAAATTATTTAGAAATACCTTTTTAACAATAATATGATTTTTAAGAATATTCTTAAAATATTAAGAATATTTTAAGAATTGTCATATTCTATGCACTATTGTCATATTCATTTTAATTAATTTATTTATTATTATTTTATTAATATAATTGGCATATGTCTTGCTTTCTTTATTAAAAATTTTAAATCATTTATTTTTATTACCTCAGAATAAGAACTTTTATATTAAAGAATAAAAAACTAAAATATTATTATTTTATATCGCTCAGAGATGATCTAAGTGAGAAAATGAAATTGTCACAAAATTGAAAACTGCACCGGCAGGGTGGTTTTTACGTCAAAGTGTAGATAGATTTTAGATTTTCTTAAGTATCGTAAGTAGAAAAAGAGAATAATGATGATACGATTTTTATTCAGTGTGGCGCTAAGTTACCTTTGACAGGTGCAATTTAATCCCATCTTACAGCAGTTCGAGAAACGATGAAAAAGCCGCGGTTTCCCGACGCTTCCCGCCGTTTTTCAATTATGCATTTCGCATATTTTACCAGAATGCCTTGTCGCATTCAGCGACGAGCGCGACGACAGCTGCCGGACTGCATTTATCAGGTTAACAATAATTCACGTCACCGTCTTACGAGCATGTACTAGATACTTTTGTGATATTCCCAAGTATAATTATTGTTGTTAATTATATGTCTAGATTTTGCATGATAGATCTTTAAATTTCTGAAACTGAAAACGCTTTTATAATGTGCATTTTTATCTGAATAAATGAAAAATTAATATGGATATTAGAAAATTATAAAAAATAAATAGAAAATAATACATAAAAGTATACAGATATATAAAAGTAAACAGAAAAATATAAACAATTTCTATAATTTTCTTTAATTTTTTTATCTTATATGCTGTATTAAAAAGTTTTAATATTTTATCCTTTATTAAACATTAAAATGTTTTTCGAAGTTGCAAACTTTTTTTCTATGAAATTTTTTTTAATTATAATATATTATTTGTGCAAGATAGCAACTGTCCAGAAAAATCTGAAAACAAAATACTTTATCGTGATATCATAAACAAAAATTAAGATATCTAGGAATGGATAACTCACACATCCAAAATCTCTAAATAATTCATTTTGATGCCATTGCAAAATTTAATCTTCTTTTATCTTTCCATTATCAGTCATTCTTTCATAGATAGTCACTTTTATCGCTGTTGCGACATCAAGTGGATTCTCGTTGTTAAGTTTCAATACTTCACAAGTTAAGAACAAATTGCAAAAAAATTGAGGCTTGTTAAAATCTGTCGTTTCACTTCCACTTGAGCTAACAAAACAATTCGTCGTATTCGGTATTGTCGCTAAATATTGCTCGCGATTATAACAAATAACGACAAAAAAAGATGGAATAGTTTTTACGATGTCTTGTACGACGACACGCAAAAAATCGATTGTTTCGAAGAACAAATCGTTAAAGCATTTATCGTGTCAAATATAACATAACACACAAAGCTTACTCTCATATTCTTATTA